AATGCAAATAAATTTAAATTTTACAGGAAGACGCAGGGCTCAACTAGCGACGGCTAGTGTGGACTACGAATTCATCGAGAAGAGGTGGAGACACGAGAGGGCCCTGAAAGAGAAGGAGCACGCGCTTCAGATGGAGCGCCTGGCCGTCGAAAAGCTCCGAATTGAGCGAAAGCAAGAACTGCTCCGAGAAAAGGCACGAGCTGAAACGAGACAGAACTGAAAGAGAGCTGCAACTGAGAGAGCGGGAATGGAAATTCATGAACGCCAGCTGCAAGCACAACTCGACGAAGCGAGCCAAAGAGAGCAGCTGTCGAGATTCAACATGGCTACTCAAGACACGATACTCAAAATTGCAGAAACGGTTTGTGATAAGTTGGCAAAGTAAAAAGCGTGTAAATAACATTCGGCTGCATTCCCAAGAAGGCAGACTAAATAATGTAATGGGGCTTCTGGCGGGGTTGTAAATCCAGCTCGTGACGGTAAACTTAATTTTATTATGCAAACATTTCAGTGTTGCAGAGAAAACACTTCAACATTATGTACCTGAATTATTACAGTTGCACAGTTTTGCATTATTTTTTTTTCTTGTAAACAATTTGTACTTGAAAATATAGGAAGAAAAGCAATTTCTTTTATGAGTACGCATGCTTGGCCTGGATTCTGAAACAGTTCTCGTGGTGGTGGGCTCGTACTGTTACACAAAATAGTTGATTGAGGTTTATATAAGTTCTGTTGCACTTCACTTAATGACTGGTGGGACTCAAGTAGTCTTGCAGGCAAGGTGACTGCACATCAAAATATGTAGAAACTTGGTTACCATACATACAAGCATGACAGTTGGTCAGGATAACAGCTACCCTGTACATGCGTGGTACGGCCTGAAGTAGTATCTTCTGTTTTTTTAATGTCAACAAATGCAAATTCTGAGATGACTTTTCCAAATCCCCACTCAACAGACTGCCTGACCGCACTCATGGATGAATTGAACTTTTGTTGGGCGGCTGTCAATGCTGCTCCTCCGTAGGGCTTCATAAGCAGTGGGCGGAGAGGATAGGCCGGGTCGCCGTATATAACAAATTCCTTGTCCAGTGTCAATGCTTCCAGCTTTTCATACAACTCACTGTCCCGAAGAATGCCTGAAAACAATCAGTTCCATATAGTTAATCATCCTTCAACGCATTCAACACAGTTCAACTACAAGAACGACGAGTGCCCGCATACTTTGTAGGATGCTTCTGCGATTGTAATGTAGTGGCTATGTCTGTGTATGTGGAACTGACTAATGAACGGTCTGATCAGGTTTCCTTGAACGTCATGTATAATGTTGTGACGGAACATAACTCACCAGCATCATGCCTTCGTCCCGGGTAAGGTCCATCCAGCTGGCAGATGAGCCCATTTAGACATATCAAAGTCTGGTATTTGAGCACATGTAGCCTCTTGGGCCCGGAAAAGTACAGGCGCTGGTCTTGCGAAGGTCGGCATATGGGGCGCGCTGTATCATCGATAAACGCCCAGCAGTTTCTCAGTGGAGCACCTTTACGATGAACAGCCTGGGTCAAACAAATATCAACATGAGAACAAGCACTAATGCGTTCAATTACGAAGCGCTAAAGAAAGAAAATATAACTTACTTCGCTCATAGCTTCCATGTCCGAATGTTTCAGCCACGGGTGAATGTTCATAATATTCAGGAGGACACGGAAGTTCTTTTCGATGTGGTAGAGTACTTTGTTCGATACTCTCGACAACCACAGAATAGTGACGTCCAAAATATTCTTGGAGGTCACACAGCCTGTTTGGATAGGCAAGTCTCCGGAGGCATATGCATAGGGCATCTGCGGCCGTTACCCTCACTCCCTGAGCACTAGTGATGTACTGCGGCATCTTCAGGGCACGCACGAACACTGGAAAGTCAGCTTTTTCGTAGCGAAACTGTCGTCGAACACACTGACTCGACATTGAGTCCAAGTTCAGTAGGCCACCTCGCGATGCATGCTCCCGCAGCATGAGTGCCTCTATGTCTTCCCAACTCAGGTGCGCCAGGCAGTAGGGGTCCCAAAGAATACTTGACATCGCCGTACCTACCGCACGGCCGGTGAGAAAGCGCGAACGTTTGGCAGTCTTACTCGCGCGGGCGTTCACCAAACGTTTAGAGTGGCTACAGCTGCGGTATCGTACTATGGCCTTTATGTGGCTTGAAATATGGCCATAATCGGGGTATAGCACTTGGATTGGCTCACATTGGCTGTCAACAATACGTACTTCTATTTTGATCTACCAGATGGCGCAACACGCTTCACGCTCGTTACGTTCGGGGGTACTACGGCGTACAAAAAGCCGATTAGTGGCAAACGACGCCACGTAACGCAAGGCGCTTGAGTGATGCGTACGTAGCACCATTCCGCAGTACTAAAACTCTCTGTTGTCTGGGTAACGGATCGGCGCGGAATGCAGCACGTCGCATTTCGCACCGGTTGTCATCGGGCCGCGCCGACGGACGCTGGTCCCGCCTGGCGTCAGACTAAAGAGTGCTGGCGTTTTGCTAACGTAGCGTCGCTGTGCCCAGCGTGCACGCGCGTCAACGCTACATTGGAGTACATTGGGCCCTTCATGATGCACTCATGGCTGTTTTGTTAGCTCCACATATACCAAATTCGGTGTTACCTGACGTCAATGAAGGACGAAATATGTGACTGGTGCAAACACAATATTCCTGACCCGCGTGTCATGTAGGAACATGACAAAATACCACGCTCTTAGCGTGCTTGCAGCCGTTTTGATGATGTCGTCAGTACTGAATGCTCATCATCATTTTTGATCGATTATGGGTCTACTTTTCGAGGTAAAAACTTGTGACAATAAAAAAAATGATATGTTAACCTCTCACTTGTGTGATACCCCTCGAGGGGCCTTAGAGAAAAATAAAGCTATGTTATGTTATGTTTTGCTAGCTCCACATATACTAAATTTGGTATCACGTGACGTGAATAAATGACCGAAGGTAACGACAGATCCAAACATAATAATCATGACACGGAAATCATGTACGGCATCATTTACGTCCCACCTCGTAACGTTGTGCTGATTTTACAGTGACATATCAACAATTCTCATTCGTGCTTCGCATATCATCGATTTCCATGTACGTGGGATCTACCAAATTTTTTATGTGACAACCTTTTGCCACTCATTTTCACTGCACACATTACATGTCACACTCATGAGTTCAATACATATATGCTTGACGCGGCTTTAGGGCGAGGAAATTCCGGCCCTAATACAGCTACTGAACATATTCAGTGTTAACACTCGGCACTATGTACAGCCAATCTTTGGCCATCAAATGGCCTTTGCGCTAATAAACAACACCAATTGTCATCGTTCTAGCTAATAACGCTGTTTTGCTGTTTCTCCGGAATTGGCTGAAATTTTACAAAGCAACGTTGGCATTTATTAGCTTCGTGTTACATGACGTCACACTACTGTCATGATGACAACAGAATGTTCGGTGGCCCTGATTTCAATATGGCATCTTAGGGCGACGTTATGACACGATGGTGTTGACGCCGACCGCTGTTTTTCTCAATCGCCTAGGCACCTAAGGCTCTCACTCTAATGAGAACATTAAAAAAAACACAAAGCCACTATACTCCATCTACACAGTTCGCTCCACTCCTTTGAACCCTACAGGACTCCTCAACCAAGAGGAATGCGAATCAGCCCCTTCACATGTATTCATCTATGACGTGCCGTTTGCTCAGCGTCTTCATGGTATCTGCTCGCACGCTTGGAGCAAGTTAAGCGGACAGACGGCATCGCTGAAACAATATACATGACTTCACCAATTGCAGCTGCTTCCATGCGCTTCGAACTTACAGTAATCAACTCATAAGTTACGCTTGTATTTGCTTTATATAAGGTGCGTGATGCTTCGAGAGAACTGTATCTATATAATATTGGTCTAATTCCAGTAGCCGTTAGAGAATTATCACCTTGTTACGGCTTAGCAGGCGATGCTAACAATAGCTTATTTAGCAAATAATGGCTAAACATATTTAATCCTTCATTGTCATCTTGAGGTGGTCCAAAGCCATAGGTCATTTCAGCATTTATTAGTTTGTACTAGCTCATTACATGGAGAGAAAGCTCAAGTTATGATCGAAACAGGGAGCCACGTCTGCCTGGCCCTGCCATGTTGACTTGTAAGCGGGACTGTCGGTGGTTACTTATACAACATTTAAAGGCGCACAACATCAATGCGAAAAAGAAAAGACATTGCCCCGCCGTGGGTGTCTTGTGGCTAATGTACTTGGCTGTGGACCTGCAGGTCGCGGGACCAAATCCCGGCTGCAGCGGCTGCATTTACGATGGAGGCGGAAATGTCGTAGGCCTGTGTTCTCAGATTTGGGCGCATGTTAAAAAATACCAGGTGGTCGAAATTTCCGGAGTCCTCCACTGCGGCGTCTCTCATAATCATATTGTGGTTTTATGGTGATGAACCTCAAATATCAATCAATATCAAGAAAAGACATACCGCCCATCGATGTGACACGCACCCAACAAGTGCAAATGGCGAAACCCTGCCATTTGTAAGCCACGCGGCTTTTCTTCGAACCTGGCACATAGTGATAAGTCTGCGACGTAGTTTGCTCTCGTGGTATTCATAGGCGCTGATTTGTTTTCGTTCAAACGTCTATGCACCTCTTTAGCGAGAGAAAATATGGTCTGCAGCAAAACTAGAGTGCCTGACGAGCTTTGCAGCCTGAGACGTGCACCTGAGCACCGTCCCGTCCACCATTTTGCCCTACCATAGCGCCGCCTGTAGTCGCTGGAATGATTGAATAGCTTTGGAAGGGCTGGTCGGTATTTATGAACGGAAGGGATTACAGTAAGAAAATAGCGAGGTGACTGCTGCACATAAAAACAATTCCCATAAGACGTGCAATCTGCCGATTTATTATTTTCGTTGTTTCTTGAACATCAGATATTTGTTTGGTGGGGGGGGGGGGTTGGAAACGCTTCATTGTTGATAGTGCTGATGTTTATTCCTCCATGAGCGTAGGAAGTCTAGTGTGGCGCGGAAGCCACGCAATTACTTTCAAGAGCCAGTTGGTAGGCGCCCATGGCGTCGCAGATTCTTTGCATCTGAGCTGCCTTTTTTTGTCGATCGAGCTACTTGGCGTTATTCTTGGTACCGCATCTTTCACAAACCGGCGGATCCTCGTTGTGACTTGTTCAGTACAATCCCGCATGAGCCAATGACCTGCTCGGGGATAATACACCAACTCGGAATTCCTCAGCCATTCTTGGTTGTACGCTGTGATGCGTCTGGTTAGAAACTCGTCCTTCTCTCCCCAGAGTATCAGCGTAGATATGTTGATTTTGCGGTAAGGTAGTTTTTGAAGCTGGTCGCTGTCGTTGTTAAAGGAGCGGTAGTAATTCAGAGCCCCGGTAAGTGCTCCTGGAAAATAAAAATAGATTTGTTAGGTACACAACCAATTGAAACTAACTGCAGACAGACTCAAAAAACACCCACTGCACACAGCGCTTAGGAAACACACACCACATAAGCACTGTATGTGGTGTGTGTCTCTTGAGTAGAAGTCTGTGTTAGTATGTGACCGTTTCGAGGTATTGTAGAATTGAGTTAAATTTACTTACAATATAATGAATCAACCATTGGCCCAACAACAACAGACTGCCTGAAGACTGCTACAGCAAGGCGAATAATGGCTGTTTGGCTAAATAAGTGTGATGTCCAATGGTGTGCACAGGGTCACATGCCAGCCTTTTTAAAATAGGCGTAATGGTATCACAATCAAGTTACTAAGACTATCTAACATGAAACTTTAGGATTTGTTCGCATGTTCACTGTTTGTACAGACGCGTCCCTCTGCCTACTCCAAGAACTTCTTTGAATAGAACAACTTTAAAAGTGTCGTGCTCTTTACTCGTGCTTGAGAAACAGACGCGTCCTCTATACATGCTTCACAATTCAACATGAAATATGGCAGTGATAGGGCGTGGTACAAGCGCCCATTGCCATTGGGCGTCAGAACATACGATTATCAGATGACTGCGTGTTTTAAAGCCGCTCACCCACTACAAGAGGTACACAAACGCTAACAGAGCTTCTTGGTTCGCTAGATCGTAGATGAATAATAATAATTTAATTTGAGCGAAAGTGCCCGACATACTCACGCGCACACACACTATGTGTGTGTGTGCGTGTGTCTGCGTGCGTGTGTGTGTGTGTGTGCGTGTGTGTATGCGCGAAAACACACACGCTACTGCGCCTGTTCCTTAAGCCCACGTAGTGGGTACATAGCAAGTTGGAAAAGATTTCAAGCAATACACTAGTTGCAAAAAAATGTATCAGGGCCATCCTTATATATGGTCAAAAAACAGCAAATAACCTTCATTGTGTATGAGCAGTTTCGTGAAATTTGCCAGTAGGCTTAGCACCTGGATCTCACAAAATGCTCACATGGAAATGAAACACGTATCTTCCGTTCATACTTTTTTTCACTCGCACGAGCAGCGTGTTCTTGCGTTTTTTTTTTCGTTTGTTTCCACGCACAATGGCAGCTACGCCCAGTGTTGCTTAAACACTTCGTGTTTTTTTCCAGTGTGCCTGGCATTTATGCAACTCGTCAATAAGCGCTTGAAACACGCACTAGCAACAAGATATCGCTATCGCGTTTAAGTATTAAAGGAAAATCTTTAGGCCCCCTAATATTTTTTTTCACATGAGGACACAGAAAGGGAACACTTTTAAGGCGCTTCAAAAGGGCTGCTTTCAAGTTGAAAGAAAATGTAGGAGTGTTGCGTGATGGGGAATACACTCAAGCTCCACCGAGATCTGCGTACCACCGGCGGTATAGTGTATATAAATAGCTCACCTATACTATGCCACCGCAAGCATGCCACGTGGTGAAGTGTTTCAAGGCGGCGCCCAACAGATCGAGGTGTCGCTGGTTCTAGTCCATGGTTGGGTACTTCAAATATTTTTCTTCTGAATAATTTTTGTGTCTTGATATATACACACTTATAAATATACGAAACATGACGGCTACTGCGAAAGTGAGCTCAAAGTGTCTATGTTTGGCTATCTAGATAAAACGTTGCTTAAATACTACCTGACTGTGTTTTGCAATCCTGTAAATTGTGGCGGTCGTTAGAATAAGTTTCATAGTCAACTTTGTCAAATATAAGTACAATATTTGCGTAGTTGCTGCTAAATAAAGCAGCACAGGGGATTTTCATAGTGCGCTAGTAGGCATTCTTACGCTGCTTATTTGTGGAAAGACTATAGCGGCAACTGTTCCGCTGAAAGTGGAGACGAGGTTCTGGCTGCACGTGGTGAGGCTTGTCTATTATGCGTGCTTATATGAAGTGAGCCTAGTCTACATCTTCAACGTTATCGGGTGAGCAAATTGCGTTAGACGTCATTAGTTGACAGACTTTTTAGCAGGAAAGCTAGCTTTACAATTACAAAAACGATGTATGCAACAGCAATTCTTCACCGTGAAGAGGCTCGTAGTTCCGTGGCATGTCATCTTGCTTGGCACGTTTGCGACGGCAGCACCTAATGTTCTACAACACTTTCCTAATACGCAAATTTCAGGGGCCACGTCTGAAATTATTTCGAGAAACTTGGCTAAGACTGATTTACACGTTAACACACAGTCCACTTTTAGCCGCCGGTGAAAGCTGTGGGGAAGCAGCCCACTGCACCATCCTGTGTTTTCTGTGTGGACAGAGCCACCTGCTTTAGTTTCATGAGTGCATTGCAGTCTTAGTTATCTGTACACGCATTCAAAAAGAGGCTGATGAAACTATGCGAATGCTTTTTTAGGATTGACTACCGTAAAATCTCAAGCAAGCAGGCCTACTCTTATAGTGAAAGCATGGTGAGAGAAAATACACCCTGGGTGAAAAATATTTCGAGATGGTTTTGGGAAGAGGGGGGGGGGGGAGGCTTGCTCAGGTTTGAAAGAAAACTTCAAATAGCGGCGGTAGAGCCGCCCGTGCTTCCAATAAAATGCGTTATTGAGTGACTCTCAACAGAACCGACGCGGTCATCGACTGTCAATGAAGCAGTGACAGGGGGTAGGAGGACATATGGAGACGCTTGGTCAGTCGTTGGTGAGTATTTGAAACTTTTCGAAACGGGTAGGTGTGCTTGCTCGGAACTATACGGTAAGTTGTACGTGCCTAAATATATGTAAAGAAAGAACTCTCTACTTAAAAACAGGAAATTCAGCCGGTCTGCGCAAATCACTTACTTGCCATTCTGCGGGTGGAGGAGCACCGAATATTGAAAGACAGAGCGATAGAGAAGAAAATATATATGAAAAGTTGAAACTGAATAATTATTCCCCCAATTATCAGCGTTAAAGTGGATACCGCTCACTCGAGAACATGAAAATGATCTGTGTCCTTGGTTCCGGAAGAAAAGTGAGGACCTATAACCAAGCGCTGTTATTATTCCTAACATCTTCATTCTCATTTTTTTTGACGGCATTGTTATAAAATAAAAAAAATCGTTTCATACCTTGCTGCGAAAATACATACTTGTGTGCGTATTTCTCGTTGGCGGTGAAAGACTTGTGCACCTTGTCAAAAAACCTGAGGTCTTTTAGCATCAGGTACTGCTCAGGAACTACCGGATGTCGGAAAGGAATCGTGAACCTGCAAAGAGCAAAAACAGTGCTTGCATTTTCTGCCTTCCAGTTATTCCAGGAGCCCCGAGGATGTCATCTTCCTGCGCGACTGGCATTTACTGGAAATAAATTTACTTTTAGGTAGTTTCCTGTTTCGGTGTATGCAAGATGCTTCCGCACCAAGACAGTGATTTTGACAAGACCGTTTTTGCCACAGTTCAGTTAGATCAGTTTAGAAAATCAAACATTTATAACGCGCAGGTGGCACCCAATGAAACGTTTGACATGCTCTAGCAAAAGGACATGAAATTATATATTAGTGGCTAACCGGACATATCGGTATTACAAGAAACCAAATGGTTGATGCTGCAGCCCACTCAGCCCAGGAAGCAATGAGCGTGGTTTTAATTCCTTGATGAAGAACTGATGCGGCAACACAACTATACTTGCTGGCTCGAGATCTTACGAGCACGTTTTGGTCGTCTACCAGCGTCCAAAGGTGTCGCCTATAAGAACTGGATCTTTCGCTCAAGCTACAGCTACCGTTGCATTTTCCCCGCTTCGACGCGACACTGTTATGTCGCCTCTGATTAGCTGTTGAATTCACAAAGGTGTACTCCTTGCACATCGGTATGGCAGACACCTTTACATGAGACTTTTACCGAGATGGAGAGACCAAGGAAGAAGTCCTGTGCAGGTGCGCTTGTTACGATACCCAGCGATGCCAGCTCTAGATGGTTCTGAACCAATTGGACTCTAGGTCATTTTTTTTGTGCAATAGATTCTGGAGCCTTGGGTGTGTGCTTGAATAGCACAGAAAGCGACAGCACTTGAATACAACAAGTCCGAGTGACCACCTGTAGATTGTGTGTGCTCGCCCAACTGTGCTCGTGATTATGTGTATCTGTCTTCCCTCTCTTTATCGCTTTTATGCACTGCATTCCTTTCATCAGTGCAGGGTAGCAAACTGAATGTGCGTCTGGTTAACTTCCTTGCCTTTCTTTCCATCAGTTAGTATGACCAACCTTTACCGGCGCATTGTGTGTAGCGCAATCAATGCGGGTGATACAGAGCGCGGAGCCAGTCCCCGCCCCGTCAACTAACGAAGCTGATCGGTTCCGCGAAGGCGAACGTGGGAGAGCTGCGCACGGCTAATAAAGGCAAAACCAAGGGTACGACCGCACGCCCAGTCCCGCTCCGTTTTTTCTGTGCTGGCCCGGTTTTCGACCGGTCCAGATGCAACGACAGCTTTTCGGTTTCGGCCCGGAGGGGATGAGTCCGCAAGCTTTCTAAGTTGCTGATTGGATAGAAAAGACCGGTGGCCCATAACGTCATCGCGCAAGTCGGAGTTGGTTGTGAAACATGGCGCTAGGCTGAAGCGACGAAGTGAGTGGCAAGGCCTAGTCGGTAGTCGCGTAAAAAAAGCTTATTTGGGCATTCTTGCAATTCCCACTAGAGTTATTGATCATCCGCGCATATTTTCATCGAAAGGCAGCACGCCGGCGCAAACTTCCTGCTCTCGTCACTGGCTGCGATCGCCGATGGAACCCGACGGAGAGTTGTGTTTAACGCGAGGTTCGGAGACCGACGATTTCGTGTGTTTCGTGCAATCGTTCGCTTACACTTTGAAACCGGAACGTCAACATCTGCAGGTGTCATCTTCGGATGACACATACTTGTCGTCAAAAGTTTTCGATCACTGCGAGCAACGCTTGTGATGTACGCCGTGTTCGTGGTTCATTCGGGAGGAGTGCTAGGTGATGACACAATCTGCGGTGATCAACGTTATCGCCGTCATTCGACATGTTCTGTGGCGTGTTCGCTGCCTTGCCGTGGGCGATATGCTGTGGTGACCGCGTCGTGTCTGAAGTGCTCGATCGTGTCCCCAGTTGACCACGCTTGCTCACGGGATACTGGTCGGGGTATGAGCTTGCGATGTTCTGTAGCGGTGCTAGACGCAAAAGTTATTTGGGGCATGTATGTGCTCGGAAATGTGCGGTGAATAGGTGTTGTCAGTGGAGCTTTATTGTGTATCTGGCTTCTCGATACAGGAATTCCATCAAACTTGACATATTTGCAAGATGTTTCAGCGCGCGAACAAAGAAAAAAGGACAGGGTAGACAGAAAGAGCGCTGACTTCCAACTAACTTTATTTCACAGAGTGGCAATAATATATACTGCTAAAATAACAGAGCAAAGAGGATGATAACAGAGCATGAAGGTAAAATGCAAGCCTAATCTACAGATCACAACAAAACACGTGTGACGGGTCCTCACATTGTCTCAAAGCCCAGCCAGGTAATCACATTCAGCCTGTGATAAAGCAATCGATGATGTGCTTACACATTTATCTCCTAGCAAGTGTATTTTTTCGGCTTCGATAATTTCTCGGGTTAGCTGGTCCTTGTGCCTTGCCAATATTGAGCACTGATCAAAGAGAGGGGTGCACCCACGATCTCGGCAATGAATGCCAAGATGCACTTATACGACATTGTGCACATTGTTTAGGTGTTCTCGGAGGTGGTCATTTATGCGCCTGCCGGTTTGCCCGACATAAATGCACCCACACGTCAGTGGAATCAAGTATACGACTCCCACTGCGCATGGGACGTAGCGTGTCCTGTGCGCGACATAGCACGAGGCCGAATTTGCACGAGGTGCATTGACCCGTTTTCAAAGCCTCTGCGATTTTTCCGGTGCAGAAAAAAACAGAAGAATGTTGGCGTCTCGGGCAATCTTTTTTAGCTTGTGTGAGACGTCGTGCACGTAAGGCAGTACGACAGGCCGGCTCTTTCTGACACTGTTTCGCTTATCCGGTTTGTTGCCTCGCTTCACGACAGTGACCAGCTAGTCCCCCATCAAAACGAGAACATGCGCGGGGTAACCATCGTTGGTGAGCCGCACCACTTGTAGAGCAAAGCTGTGGTGTACCATCTGGGGGCAGGACTTCTTTAAGGAATTGGCAAGGCAGAGGTTAGCAATGCCCCGCTTGACCAATTTAGAGTGAGCTGAGCTGAAAGACAGAAGTGGCTTGCCGCTTTTTGGTTCATATATCCAGCAAACATGTCGGGATTCTAGCAAAAGCTTCAAATCTAGAAACTTCAGGTTGTTATCAGTGGGTGATTGATGGGTTAGAACTAGTCGTTTCAGGCACTCCCGGAAAACAGTCAACACGTCAGAGGAAATGGTCTGAAAATTTTGACTATCGGATATAAAACACTAAATAATCATCAACAAAACGGCAAACTTTAAAAACTACAGAGTCGTCAAGCTTGTTTGACAAGACACGATCATGATGGGCTAGAAATGTCACTGAGAATGGGTGCCAAACATGAACTAATACATATTCCACTTTTTTGTAAGTATTTTTTGTCTTGCCATGAAACAAAAGTGGCCTTCAAATAAAAACTGATAATTTTAATAAGCTGCTGTTATGAATTCCAATACGTGTTTTGAACACTGATGATCCTAACCTGTCCATGCATTCTTCTACACATTTAAGTAGCAGTATGTATTCTTGCCACTCTGTGAAATAAAGTTAGTTGGAAGTCAGCGCTCTTTCTGTCTACCCTGTCCTTTTTCCCTTGTTCGCGCGCTGAAACATCTTGCAAATATGACTGCGCACCAACTAGCCCAAGCTTCCACTCTTGTGAGCATCAAACTTGCATTTGTTGTCTAGTTCGCGTGTGAATTGTTTCAAGTTCTTTCCGCACTTCCACGCTTTGCTTTCATTCAGTGCTGTATTATATACGTGCAAGAATGTTGGAGTCATAAATGACAACTTCAGGTAGCGTTTAAGTCTAACGTGTACACACAGAAAATATTACACAGAAAATTTCACTCAACGGAAGTCATGATGCGAAAGTCTTCTTGATGTTTCCTAACCACAAAGAAAGCGTATCGATTGTCAAGCGAAAAAAATGCCACGGTTCCCTGCAAATTTCCATATAGTAATTGAAGGCTATATGCATATTAAAACTACAGTATAACTAACCAAATCCTGTGTTCACTATAAAATCTGTTGACGTACAACTGTCACAAGAACTTATGTCAAACTTTCATGGCGGTTATGATGATAGAAAAGCCAACCGAGTTGCCGAATTCGTAACTTTCGAGTACCTTGCAGATTGGCTTTTGCCTATTGTTATTGGCATATCTTTTTGCCATGAACATTTTATTTCATGCAAACAAAATTTACCCGTATTAACCAAACAGTTTTCTTAGGGGATTGTACCAGTGCGTCCTGATTACCAATTTAGTTTGCACCTGGTGCTGGATACCGTGTCCTGAAACTACTCATGCCAGTAAAATATTCCCATGAGCTATTTTGCGCTGTCGATGATAGGCTGAGAAAAGGGCACGGACAATAGGCGTCTTCAGATGTGTTTGACTTAAAACATGACGCACACATGAAGTGACTGAGCATAAGCTGAGGCCTAATCGCCATCTGCATAAAGGAAGCTAATATGGATATTATTGTGTTTTAGTACGAGAGTTAATCAGCATTTGTGGAATTATTCATCGAAACACAGCAGGTCAGTGCTAGATTTCGGATGTAATATCACCCATGGAAAGGTACAAAGTGGGCTTTCTACGTGAGTGTCAGGTGCTGTAGATTGTGTGTGTTTCATGCCATTAACTTCTCAAGTAATTACATGAAGGTGAAATCTACATATGACTCATGCTCATTGAACACAAACGTGGAACGTATTGGATTGCTACTTTCGGTGTCCACAGTACAAAGTGAAATGCAATAGTTTCATTGCCTTTTCATTACTTTCATGCATGTTATTGTTTCTGAACCATTTTGCTGTTTGTTTTGCTCTATGGTGACGGCATAGCTTTCGAGGGACCGATAGTGTCCTTTGGCGTATACCTGCACTGGGTTGCAGCAGTTTTAGGTGCTGTTTTGTGTGTTGTGCAGCGTGCAATATATTTGTATTACTAATTAATCCTTGGAGGTAATCAGTCATGTGCTCTTCTTGATCAAACTTTAAAAGCTCGATTTATCTGCATCTCTTACGTACT